GTACCAGTCTAAAAATCTACTCAAGTAAAAGTAAAAAGTAGCTCATTTAAAATTTACCCAGAGTAAAAATGACTTAGTTACATTTTAGCAGTGGGAGGGAGGCAAAAATGGGATAGGCCAGGGGTGTCAAACTCAGTTCCTGGAGGGCCACAGCCCTGCACAGTTTAGATGCAACTCTAATTAAACACACCTGATCCAGGTAATCAAGTCATTAAGGCTTATTTGAAAACTACATGCTATGTGTGTTGGAGCAGGGTTGGAACTAAACTATGCAGGGCTGCGGCCCTCCAGGAACTGAGTTTGACACCCCTGGTTTAGAGTGATTCGTTTTAAATTAGATTAGGAAAGTATGCAGCTTTCGCAGACTTAGCAGCAGTCTAGTAAGATGTAAGCGAGTCTTTAAACATTTGAAGAGAGATATGCAGCCTGTCCTTTTTCCATTTTCGTTCTGGTACAGTTGCAGCTTGTACTTATTATTAAAACAAATAGAGAGCAAACAAGTAGCATTAATAGTCATTTATTTTAGTTAACACATGCTATGATAAATTTGAATAGATTTTTATTCTTGTTGAAAAATAATGGAACATTAGGTCATGAATATTGTCTCAAAAGTCATGGAAATTTATTGGTAAAAATGTGAAACCCTTCAGCCTTCTCAAAAGAGATAATCGCTGTTGAGCCTTCTTATAGAAACCATTCGCCTGCTGTGTAAATGATAGATGCCTGTCAATCTCAGTGCTCAAATATGTAAAGGCCTCGACCTGCTCCACTACCTGTGGAGTAATCCACTATCCAGGGATTGCTCATGTCAAACAAGTTACCAAAGCCATGCCCTCAGCATATTTCAGAAGTGACATCCTATTGATATCACACTTAATTTAAGTATATAAATTAAGAGCCGATACAAAATAACTAGTACAGTGTTGTACCAGTAGTAATGGACTCTTTTGTGGCCCATTTGTGGATTTACCACCATCAAACTTTTTTTTTTTTTTTTCTAGAGTATAATAAACAGTTCACAGTCTTGGCCTAATGAATCCGATCATGATAAGAACATAAGCTTCATCCAGCATAATGAAGAACTCTTGAAACATTTTGGTAAGTCATGGAGCTTGTTTGATTTGGATGTTTATTAATGGAGACTGTTCATCTGAATGGAGGTTGTCCTCTCTGTTCTGATTGGACAGGTATGTTGAGGAGGTGGGATGATAGTCAACGCTTTCTAGCAGAGTACCACCATCTCATCTGTGAAGAAACGGCCAATTACCTGATCCTGTGGTGCTTCCGTCTGCAGGCAGTGCAAGTGAGTGCTCTTTCTGGCCACGTTCAAAATAACATACCACCTGTACTCTTTCTGCAGTATGTGCACTATGTACTGTGTCCCCACATGACCTACTACTGATCCCGATTGTCTGGATCTTCTGCAGAAAGAGGCCTTAATGGAGCAGGTGGCTCATCAGGCAGTCGTCATGCAGTTTATTCTGGAAATGGCCCGCAACTCTCAGCAAGACCCACGAGGCTGTTTCCGTCAGTTCTTTCAGAAAGCCAAAGTAAGGCTCACATCTGCAGTGTACTGCAATGCTGCAGACATCACCTTCAGCCTCTGCTGGGCTTTTCCCAGTGGTGTTTTACGCAAGATTAGGGCTGTCACAGATCCTAGATTCAATTCGAGTACTCGATTATAAAAAAATCCTCAAAAGCATTTTGCCCGTGTCGATTAACCGGCAAAATACCGGAAGTGGCGCATTCCACAGACAAGCATCCATTAAAAGTATTATTAGACCGTTTTCTGAGGCTGCACGAAATATTAAAACCATTTAAAAATCATGATAAAGCACTGTGCTATTGTGAATTCACAAAGGCTGTGATTCAATTAAAGGGATCCTATTATGCTTTTTCACTTTTTCAACTTTAGTTAGTCTGTGATGTTGCTGTTTGAGCATAAAAAACATCTGTGAAGTTACAAAGCTCAGTCAATTCAAAATTCAATTCAAATTTTTTTCAAAAGGAGATATTTTATTTAACAGAAATCACTTTTCAAAAACTACAATGAACGACTCGTTTGGACTACAACGCATATTTTCCGGGATTTGTGATATCACAATATCAACGAATGGGATGAGACCTGGGCCGTTCATGCCAGACTGGGGAGAGAGGTGTGGTAATAATGTAAAATATGTGAAAAATAATGTTTTTCAAACAACCTAGTATGAGAGCCTGTTCTAGTACACCCCCAAAACAAAATCAAGACTTTGCAAAAGAGCATAATAGGACCCCTTTAAATAAATATATGCGTTGCGGCTTTAATATGCGCTTTATTTATATGCATGTAGGTTGCGGCTCCGTTCACAGTAAATGCTGCTCCACACAAACAGTCATCATTTACATGCGCGGAGCGTCTCAAACTCCATCTCTGCATATGCTGTGAGTCTGAGTTGCTTATAACGTTCATCTGGGAACAATGTGCACTATTCTATCAGATTTATCAGGTAAATAATTTATAAACCTACGACAACACAGGAGATTACAGCATTATACTTCTAAATATGCTGACCGTTCATTGGGACTTCAGAATAAAAGTATAAACCCTCGTTTTAGTTTGTTTGTTTTGATGTCCACATGTTCTTGTTTAAGAATTTACAGTGGCTGTAGCATTTCTATCATAAAGTGGCCAAATATTAAAGATTAACTGGACATTTGAATTAAAAGTTGTTTAGACAATAAGTCTTAGATCTGGCTGTAAAGTGTAAAAACAGGCCGTTGGCGCCCTCTGTTGGCATTTGGTATAATACATAATATACATAAATTAGGATTATATTGTTTTATTAAATTATGTATTTTAACTGTTTTGTTCAGTAAAACCATATGAATACTTGCTTTTGATATTTTAATTGAACCAATTATTATTGTCTCACTGCTATTATATATGTATTTTAAGTCATTTTAAAGTCTATTGTTCGCTTAGGTCTATTTTTATTACCACAAAAAAAAAAGTTTGATTACTCGATTAATCGTCAGAATAATTGACTGAAAACTGTCACTAATACTATTGTTAGTGACAGTCCTAGACAAGATATTACACATCTCTTACTGTGCATGAGTTATTTTGCCGGAGAGGTACAATAAAGTCCAACAATAAATGTTTTTGAAGGAATGCTCACCAAGGCTGCATGTATTTGATCAAAAATACAATAGAAATGGTAATTTTGTAAAGTAATATTACAATTTAAAATAACATTTTTCTATTTTAATATACATTAAAAATGTAATTTATTCCTGTGATGCAAAGCTGAATTTTCAGCAGTCATTACTTCAGTCTTCAGTGTCACATGATCCTCCAGAAATCATTCTGATATGCTGATCTGATGCTCAGTTATTATCAAGTATTATTGGTGCTCAATTGTTTATAATGGTTCTTTGATGAATAGAAAGTTCAATGAACAGCATTTATTTGAAATAGAAAACTTTTAAATTGTAATAATATTTCACAATATTACTGTTTTTACTGTAACAGCCTTGGTGAGCAGAAGAGACTTCTTTGAACGACATAAAAAAAAAAATCGTAATTATTCTGAACTGACTGGTAGTGCAGGCAATCTGAGTCCGTGTGAGTGTTGTGCAATAATGGCAGTGACCACTGGAGAGAGACATGACATAACTGAGAGCCTGAGGCCAGGAAACAAGCAATATGGGCACAGATGAAGTTCATGTCCACGCATTCATCCATGTCATATGATAAACCTCATTCATATTTTTACTGAATGCATTCTGAATCATTTTTAATCTTGCTTTGCTTCTATTTTAAGGCAGGGCAGGAGGGATACTTGGACGTCTTCCACACAGAACTCAATGACTTTAAGCAGAGAGTTAAAGTGTATACCATGAAATCAAAAGGAGAAACCCCAAAGGATCCAGTGCACCAAAACACACCACCAGGCTGTCGCCTCGACCCCAAGGAGGTTTTGGAGTCTTTGCCACCGGTACGAAAGATAATCAAATCTCTCAGTTTTATGTGCTGTAATCAAGTCATTTTATGGTCCTTACTGACAGAAAAAAAATCTGTATGAAGCAACCAAAGCACAGCGAATCAGAACATGCTTCATGTTTGATGTACAGTAATGTAGAGAATGATTTTGGACCAATGAGATTTCACTGTGCACGGGACTTTGTAATGCATTGTAAATAGACACTGAGCTACGACAAAATGTATTGTCACACTTAATTGTGAATGAAAGAAATGTTGATCAGAAATACAGTAAAGACAGCAATATTGTGAAATATTATTAGAATTTAAAAAAAAAACTGCTTTCTATGTGAATATATTTTAAAATGTAAGTTATTCCTGTGATGCAAAGCTGAATTTTCAGCATCATTACTCCAGTCTTCAGTGTCACATGATCCTTCAGAAACCATTCTGATAAGCTGATGCTCAAGAAACATTTATGATTATCAATTTTGAAAACAGTTGTGCTGCTTAATATTTTTTGTGGAAACTGTAAAACATTTTTTCTTTAATTAGAAAGTTCAAAAGAACAGCATTTATTTGAAATTTAATTTATTTTATGACTATGAAAACGTCTTTACTGTCACTTTTGATCAGTTAAATGTGTCCTTGCTGAATAAAATTATTATTTTTAAACTTTTAAATGGTAGTGTAGCCAGTAACAAAATATAAAATGAGTCAAATGTTGATTTTGCAGGAACTGAAAACATGCATCCAAATGCAAGATATGCCGATTCTTCAGAACGTGCTGAGCAGCATGAACCCGCAGGTAAAGCTGGAGCTTTATGCTGTAACACATCAGAACGTGTCAACCAGCACTTCATAACTTAACCATTCTCATTCAGGTTCTGATTTCTCTTGATTTCTGTTGCTTATTGACTATTTTTGTACTTTTGTGGATTTAGTAGTCGTGTTGTGATGCTGCTGTTAAAGTAGTTTAGTACAGGGCTCCATCTGAATCAAATTTTAAAAAACTATTTTTTAATAATTTTGAATCAGAAATTTAAACTTTAGTAAGCATGCAGCATTGTCTGAAGTGTAACCAAAACATTATGGCATGTTTCAGCGTCATTTAGGGGTTAAGGGGTCAGGCTCTTGAACACTTCCTCCATCGCTTTCACTTTTCACCACAGAGAGCACATGCTCTGAACCTGACACAGACGAGCTGAATGAGAGCCAAAGGACACAGAAAGAATTGCATAACAGCTCTAATCTGCAAGAGCATTGCATTCATCAGAATCCAGGCGGACCTATAATCCCTCCTCCAGCCCTGCAGATCTGCATAAGGGAGGATGTGCAGATTATAATGGGATATTAAAGGGATAGTTCACCCAAATATTAAAATGATGTAACTTATTCACCCTCATATCGTTCCAAACTTGTATGACTCATTTTCTTCTGTAAAGCACAAAATGAGATGTTTTGTAGAATGTTCATGCTGCTCCTTTCCATATAATGAAATTAAATGGGGACTTTAAAACTCCAAAATGAAAAAAAGCACCATAAAAGTTGACTATACGACTCCCTGAATTGCCATTCAAAAGATTGGGGTCACTAAGATTTTATTATTTTAGATTTTATACTTTTATTCATTGAAGGCGCATTAAATTGATCAAAAGTGGCATTTATAATGTTACAAGAGATTTCTGTTTGAAAGGATTTCTCTTTTGAACTTTTAATTCATGACGCAATTAAAAAAATTGCATCAAAGTTTTCACAACAACTTTGACCTGCACAGCTATTTTCAACATCATAATAATAAATGTTTCTTGAGCATCAGCATATTAGAATGTTTTCTTCATGTGACACTGAAGACTGGAATAATGATGCTGAAAATTCAGCTGTGATCACAGAAATAAATTACATTTTAATATATATATTACAATAGAAAACAGTTAAATTGTAATAATATTTCACAATATTAATTGTCTGTACTTTTGAGTAAATAAATGCAACCTTGGTGAGCAGAATTTAATAAATATTACAGACAATGTTACTGAGGAAAACACCTAAGAAAACATTTAAATGATTTATTAATTTATAATTTGAAATGTGATTTTGGTCACCATTCACTTTCATTGTATGGAAAAGAGCAGCATCAACATTCTTCAAAGTTTCTTCTTTCGTGTTCGATGTGAGAAAGAAACTCTCACAGTTTTGGACTACCACGTTAAAATGTGACAAACATGCAAAAAAATAAGCAATCAGGAAGGGGGCCAACACTTTTTCACACCACTGTATATGCATTTTTGATCAGTATTCTGTAAAGTATGCAGCTCAATTCCTGTTCCTCATACTGATCTCTGAGCTGCAAGTGTCTTTTCCTGTTAGTTATTAATATCCTCTTTCTCGCTCATAACAGGTGGCAGAATACCACGTGAAGCGTTGCTTGGAGGCAGGACTTTGGACGAATACACCACGAGCCTCCAAAGAAGAGAGTTCAGAAACGGACGAGTGGAGAATGATGGAGAGCTAGCAGACGAAACTTCACTAGGAAAACAGCTTTGGGTGGCAAGACAGGAAATACAAGGGCTGTGCTCAGAGACGTTTGATTTGTATCCGTGCCTGAATGTGTGCTGCACTTTATATTTGTTTAAAAGAGAAAGTATTTTAAAAGAGATAGGGAACTGAATTTTGAGGCACTTCTATTTTTGTTCCATTTCTGTTGCTATCTTTTTCTTCTGTTTTAGCATTTCGGAAAAAAGTTTAGGAAGGTGGTACACGCAGTAGTGCAAAGGAAAACCTCATAGTTTGAATCTTTTTGAATTTTTTTTTTGAAACATTCAAACTCCAGCTGCTATCAGGGAACTGTTTCATGTGTCGTCTGTGTGTGGATGCGGCAGATAACAGTCGGCTTCCTGCAGATAGACAAATGACAATAAGGCGAAGCCGGACCTCCCATTCTGCTATCTTCACGATGGAAACAAGACCTTTGCAAAAAGTAATTTGTAGGTCCAATAGTATGGCATGAAAGCCAGCAATATAGGGTTGTTACCTACAATTACAATGAAAGAGATTCACATTCACTATCAAAATAATGAAAACAGTGTGTGTTTGATATGATGTCAAAAGCAACAAATAGCGTACGTTTAAGGGATAGTTCACCCAAAAATCATTATTTCTCAATCTCATGTTATTGCAAACCTGTGTGACTTATGTTTAACACAAACATGTTTTATTCATACAATGACAGTCAATGGCGTCCAATCAGTGTCGTTTTGGACCCCATTGACTTTCATTATATGGTCAAAAACAAGAAACATTCTTCTAAATATCTCTTCTTGCATTTTCCATGGAAGAAAGAAAGTCATAGATGTTTGGAACAACATGAGTGCGAGTAAATGAGGAGTTTTCATTTTTGGGTGAACTATCGCTACAAAACACCATCAAACTGACTGATAATGATTGCAGTAATTGCATTGAAACGCCGCAGATGCTGTTAGCTTGTCGCATCCAGCTAGTTTGCATTGCTTGTACTGCACAAAGAACATATACAGCAAACCACGATTTGTGTAACATTAACTGATGGCTGTGATGGCATTGTGCAAGTCTTTACAATCAGATCAAAATCCTCAATTAAATCTTTAGACCCTTAAATCTTTAATGCAGTTCATTATTATTAAAATAACTTATTTCTTAGCATTTTATAAATGTGTTGGCTAGCTCTCTGTGTACTTGCAGGCAATAAACTGGCTCAAAACGTGCTGTTTTTAGAGGGAGGGGCTTTTTTGGTTGACAAAGCAGGGCTGAAAGCATGAAAGTAGGATCAAATGTACGATACATGCTGTTTCGGCACGTCCACTCAACAACAGGATCATAAGGCATCAGTCATCAAATTTTAGTAAGTTAATATATGTGAAGGTGTTGTAAAAACACAAATGTGAGTGATTGAGAAAATACTGAATTGTTCTTAAGAGATTGATGAGAAAATTGTCTTCATTTCTTTTAAGGCTATTTAGTGAATCTTTAGGTACAAAAATATATTGTAAACAGTGTTATTATATATAAAATCTAGAGCTGTTCATATGATTTACTACCAAAAGAAAAACTAGAACGAGTCAAGCTTCACTGTGTTTACTGCAGTTGTTTCAAAGCTCACTACCTGCTTTCTGAAATGCCATGCTTGGCATTACACTTCTTTTATCCATATTCAATAGCAGGTTTTTCAGTCACTACAATTTATACAGTGATTCGCAAACTGTGCCATAAAATTAAATGCATAAACAAACGAATTAGCACTGCACTTCATTTGTGGCCTTCATAACCACACAGTAATAGTTTATCAATACAAATGTTTTTACACATTATTGATTTTCTTTCCCTTTATTAATTATTGTATTGTGCAAAACTTTCTTAATTAAAAATACATTATTTTGTATATGCAAAAAAATTACATGGTTCATTCATATGATCTACAATCATCAGACTCATAATTAGTGTTTTTACTAATTAAGGCCACAGTGGTTCACAAAATAAAAAAGTCAGAATATTCAAAAATCAGGTCTAAATCATAATTTTGCACTGCATTCATCTGGGAAATGTTTAAATGAATACTTTTCTTCTCTAGTATGCACAAATCTCAATCATATTAAAATGCTGTCGTGGATAATAAACAGAAATGTTTTGGAGCTGCTGTGTCCACACTTTGCAGCCACTTCAGTTTTTAAAAAAATGGGTTGGGCACTTCTGGCAAGTGTAATGCTGAAAATTATTAACTTTGGAGTCAACTATTAATCTTAGCATGCCTAAAACTCTAACTCTTTAAGCTAGTTTGCTTAAGATGGCAGCGCTACAGCTCATGAGACTATAGTTTGATCATAAACCTTGGTGCGAACTTTCTCACAAAGGCATAAAAGCAGATGGTGACACCAAAGGCTTCGGCAAATACAGTAGACTGCTTAAGGCCACAGAGGTGCATTGTGCTCGAGTCTAACAGTGTACTTCAGATCAGCTGTGGTGAAAGTCCTCAAAGTGGTTGTGCAATCACGCTTTTCCCACAGCCTGCTGGTTTCCTGGGATTTTCCTGGTCAGGAAGGCATGAACGCGAGGCCATATCTTGTTGGTTTCAGTTCCTGAGAAGGTCTCCAATACTCCTTTACTCCTGTTCAAGTAGAAGTAGGGAGAATATCATATGTTATGGCTCAAACACCTCAGTATTCATATTAACCATCAGTCACCATCAGTCCAGCTTAAAGGAATCGTTCTTCCTCATCAACATCCCAAAATCTCACATAAGTGATTTTCTTCCTTTGAACCGGACATTGGAGAACCAGTGACAATTCATGTGTAACTCAGGGCTTCCCAGACAGGGGTTTCCTGAGTTTTCAGCTTTTCAGAGCTTCTTGCTTCACAGTAAAACTCCGTCTCTGCTTGTGCTGCGAATTTAACATGTATTTTGGATCGCAACTTGCACTTGGGTTCACTTTATTTACACAATTTCACATTTACATTTACAGCGTTTCAGCAAAATAAAAGCTCCAGTCCAGGAACTTAAATGATAAAAGTTTGAATGTTTGAAAGTGAAGAATTTAAGAAAAAAATATTAGCATTGTAACTTGTAGTGCAAATAAAATTAAAATGATACAATAATAGTTTAAAAAAAAAAAAAAATTTATGCTACAGTATAATTGTAATTTAAAACAGTAATATATTTGTCTTCATTTTTATAACTAGTTAAAGGCACAATATGTAAGATTTTTTTATTAAAATATCCAAAAACCACTAGAACAGTGTTATATATTTTGCTGACTTGTGTACTTACATTATCCCAAATGTTTCGAAGAATGTTTAAATCCAGAGAAATAAGCAATTTTAACTAGTGAGACGGACCGTGTCCATAGTGTCGTGTCGCCTGCCAATGACGTCATAACCCCTCGATTTCCGGTTTTGTTTTGTAGAAAACATGGAAACACCAAAGACGCTTTAATATGTTGTGCGTTTTAATAGACCGGTGACGACCGCACAGAGTAACATTATAACAGAACTTTCAAATGTATCTAGTATGATAAAACAGCGCTGCTTTTTCCCCCACATACGCACGACCGGAAGGAACAGAAGCGGTTATACTCACGACCGGAAGGAGTGGAAGTGGTCGACTGTGGCATAATAAAAGCTCCGCTGCTTTCGAGCCGCGTGCCGCGCTCGTTCAGCGGCCTTGTTTCGCTTCGACGGCTTTCAGCCTCACCCTGCTTCATCCTACTACGTTAATAAATCATTAGCTCATCCATGAACATGATTTCTGCCCGAGTCCCGTCGGATTGCATCGGCTGTGGGGATGAAGACCACAACTCCCATGATTCCACACTCAGTCACGCCGTCATCAAACTACGCCTTTGTTTCTTTGTTTATTTTGAATACGCGGCCTCTAGTGGCGAAAATGACATATTGTGCCTTTAAAACATTATTATTATTTTATTTTGTTTTAACTAATTATAAAATAGTTTTTTCTCTCTTTCCTAGAACACCAGTGTGAATGTTATGTGGACTGAGACACTATCACAACAAAAAAAAGTCTACTTTAAAGCTACAAAAGCTATTTTTCCAGCTACAAAATCAAATTAAAACACTTACGAATAAAATATTATATATATTGGTACCACTTTATAATAAGTATACACCAATAAAGTACTTTCAAATCATTAACAAACTATTAGTTTATAGTTAATTCATAGTTTATAAACCGTAGTTAATACATTAATATAAAAATAGTACTTCATTCATTATCACTGTGCTTTAAACCAACCTCACTATCCTTTAAATGTTTACAAAAAAAATTATATATATATATATATATATATATATATATATACCCACACACACAGACACACTGTATGTAAAATAAAGGTAAAGGTTATTTTAAAACACTTATTTAAAGATATTTTACCAATTTTGCGACCTAACTTTAAGTGAGAACTATTTATGGTTAATAAATTGTTTAATAAGCATTATCTAACTCTTTACATATGAGCTCATTAAGCAATAATAATTTGGTTAATTACAGTGACAATAAATAAAGAACTCACTATATGTATAGAGTCTATTAATGTATCAACTACAGTTTATAAACTATGAATTAACTATAAACTATTATATAAACTATAACAGTGTGCAAATGATTTGTAAGTACTTCATTAGTGTATACTTATATTATAAAGTGTTACCTATGTTTTATCTGTTTACTTGCATTGAAGTACTAACTGACTTATTTATTTATTTACTAACTGTCATCAGAGAATCATGCGAATGTGTCATTAAATTACTGAAATATTAAGTTACTAGTACTTAGTACTTCATAAATATTTTATGTCTGAGGGGTTCAGCTGACAAAAAAGTCTGGGAAGCCATGATGTAATGACATCAAACCTGGTGCACATATTTAGATGCTCCATAATTTAATCAGCAATTTGAGGAAGATTTTTAAAAAAATAAAAACTTAAACTTGGGTCTGTTCCGGCTTCAAAAGACTTGAAATATTGTGTACAAGATGTCTGCACTATGTTTATGTTACTTCGGAGCTCAGCAGCCTCACTTTCATTGTATGGAAAAGAGCAGCATGAACATTCTGCTAAATATCTTCTTTTTGCTTCCACATAAGAACGAAATCCATCCAGACCTAGAATCACCTGAGTGTGAGAGGATGACCGAATTTGGGTGAACTATTCCTTTCATAATCCCCTAAACATTTTCAGCTGTGTGTGTTACTGAATTCTTTCATTCATCATAAATCATAAAGAAAACAGCTGTAAAACTGTGGTTTCTGTGCAGTACCTGTAATACTCTAGAACTGGTTGTGTCTGTCTCTCGTAGTCCTTGAGTCTCCTGGACACAGTTTCGGGACTGTCGTCGTCTCTCTGGACCAGCGGTTCTCCTGTGACATCATCGAGACCCTGTGCACAACAGAGACCACTGATTATAAGCATAAGCATAAGGTATAAGCACCACAAACACCTGACTTCACTCACACGCTAAAACTTTCAAATGTGCAATAATCATCCAATTAAAGCCACTGTATCTTAGGAATTCCTGTATTGAAAGCATCAACAATCTTTGGCAGACGCTGATAAATCCCAGAGCTAAACGGAGGTGACCTTCAGGCGCACAGTTTAGTGTTGACATAAGCTTTGGAGCTGTATTTGAGCAACACTGACAAGCACGGTTTCACACTGGGCTAGTGCTGTATTAGTTTAACACACACAACTGCTATCTTGAGGCTCATTATTTAAAATGATTGCAAAGATGACCAAACTATAACAATTAGGAAACTGTTTTATGTCGCAAAAACC